ACACCTTGTGTTCGTTTATTTTTGACAGCATGTATGACCACACAAAATACTCCAAGGGGTTTAGATCTGGTAAACTGGGAGGCCATTCATCCTTGGCCAAAAAGTCGGTCAAATTTGCTCGAATACGCAAATACCTCCCCATACCATCACGGAAGCTGCGTTTTAAAACTGTGGAATGTTTCTGTCCCTATCTGGGATGTCCCTGGACCTACAAGCCCACAACCTGTCGTTTTGGACATTGTGAGACTGCTGCAGGGCAAATAACTTTTCATCGGAAAAGACAAACTTTCGTCCAGCGTGCCGCGATAGTAGGAGAGTTGCTCTTTCACGCCGTTTCTTCTTGGAAGGTTCCGAAACTCCGTGAACTTTACGTTTCTTGAAAGCTTGGCATCCCAGGTCCTGCTTGAGTACATTGTGCATGGTCGATTTCGAGACATTGAGATCAGCGGCCATTTTACGTACAGAGCGTTGTGATTTTCGTCGAACTCGTTCCCTGGCGGTCTTAATCACTCGTTCAGTCCTAGCTGAACGTCTTCGGCCGGATCTTTTCCGGTCATCTAACGAGGAAGTCTCACGGTACCTTCTAATGGTTCGATATCCAAAATCCCGCTTTACTCCCAGATTCTGCAAACTCTTGAAAATAGCGCCAGGGCGCTCTCCTTCCAAAAACTTTTTTATTACCACAGCACGAAATTCTTTCATCGTTGATAAAAGATGGATACTGAATGAAAATAAGCAAACAGAACCGTCAATGGTTTGTGTAAACACAGTGCAAGATTACACCAATTCATATAAAGTGTATGAACTGTAGCTTCACCACTACGACAAGATGAAAAGGTGTATGAGAATATATTGGACACGGTGTACATCAACTTCAAATGACTTCTAGCGATTATCTTACCAAAAAATAGTAGAAATTCTCTGCTATGCTATGAATTACTGCTCATTACCAAACGTATCCCATGACAATTTAATGCTAACTGCGTGATTATGATCATTTCTTCGATTATATTTTATTGATTTTATTGCAATACCTTTCGGTTGACCTCTCATAGCATCGTAATGTTTGTTTACTTTGCGCGATAGGTAGCCGGTTTGACAGTTCAATAAGTAGACTTGGCTTCACTCTTGGCGTGACTAAATATACACCGACTCTAATTACTACATGCGTGAAGTTAACGATTTACACAGCTTAACTTAAAATATGAGATTTAAAGTAGTCATTTTATATGATAGATGAGGAGATGAAAGTATAGAGATGATAGTTCCATTAGAGTACGGCAGTGTGAAAATTGTATATAGAGAGTAGAAAGCGAGCATAGGTCAATTTGAGGAAGGCACGAATCGGGTTGAAAATATCCTTTACCAAACTTCGCTGTTGGGGTGGGATGGTGAGGGGTATTTCCCCTAGCCACCACTGGCAAAAGAGATGATCACCGATTTGCTCAAGTAAAGGGTGTTCCACATCAAATTGCATCACGGAAAAAAACGCTGTAGATAATTACCCATTGGGTATTTTCTCTTGAAAATTTGGGAAGAAGCAGTTTAAAGTGTATTCTTTACACTGTATTTTTATCGCTGTCAGTGTTTCTAAAGTTGGAAAAAATGGCGTCACGCGAAAAGCAACGTCACGAATTGATGTTGCGCAAGCACTTGGAAAATCATCAACTCTCTCATCAGGACATCGGAAAACAACTCGGAATCGTGCAGTCAACGGTGAGTCGTTTGATTAAACGTTACTACGAAACTCTGAGCATCGAACGGAAGGAGAAATGCGGTCAGAATGGATGTTCTATTTGTTAAAGCGATTAAGCGGAATCCCAATGCTTCGGTCAGGGATGTGGCCAAAAAGTTGAATCTGTCCAAGTCTTTCGTTCAGAGAGCCAAGGACCGGAAGGGACTGCATACCTACAAAGTGCAGAAGGCTCCAAATAGTGACGAACGGCGAAATACAGTTGGAAAGTCACGGGCCCAGAAACTGTACACTCAGATGCTGACGAAGCCTCATTGTCTCATCATGGATGATGAGACTTACGTCAAGGCGGATTTCCGGCAGCTTCCGGGGCTACTGTTCTTTACCGCCCAGCACAAGTTTGATGTTCCGGAGGAAGTAAGGAAGCAGAAACTTTCAAAGTTTGCCAAGAAATACATGATTTGGCAAGAGATCTGCTCATGCGGCAGTGCGCCGTTCGTGACTACCAAGGGGAGATCTACCTCAAGGAGTGTCTACAGAAGCGTCTGCTTCCTCTGTTGAAGCAACACGAGGGCCCTACAATCTTCTGGCCGGATCTAGCTCCATGCCACTATTCAAATGTTGTCCTGGAGTGGTACGAACCCAAGGACATGAACCCCCCCAACGCACCGGAACTAAGGCCCATCGAAAAATACTGGGCTATTATGAAACAGGCACTACGTAAGCATCCCAATGAGGTCAAATCTGAGGAAGACATGAAGAAAAAGTGGGTTTCCGTATAGAAGAAGCTGCAGCCACATATTGTACAGAACCTAATGAGTGGAATTAAGCGAGTGTACGGATATGGTATTGAAGTTGAATGAAATAAATATCCAAAAGCTTACTAATTGGTTATATTTTATTGTCTGAAAGTTTGAAAAGGATCGGCCTACTAGGTAATTTTCTACAGCGTTTTTTTCCGTGATGCAATTTGATGTGGGACACCCTTTACATTCCATGTGCGGAAACAGTTCTACCGAGAGTTTTCACACTCCAGTCGTCATGTGACGTAAGCATCTAGTCGACAGGTTTGGAAATTGCAGCTGTTGTTACCTCTACCGCTGTATGTGCTCCTGTCATCGTCAACTTAACGATCTCGAGGAGACACGGGTAGGGGAGGTGCTGCTATTGTACCTTTCGACCAATAACTGTATGATTGATGGTAAGATCCCATCTAGAGTTATTGACTTTAACAAATCATGTTTGTATTACTTCATGCGTGAAGTTAACGATTTACATAGTTGGAGATGCTAAACGTCAAATATCACTCTCAACTCTATTCTATCGTATAAAAATGACCACTTTAAGTCTGATATTTGACGTTAAGCATCTCCAACTATGCAAAAAAATTTGCTCAAAAGATAGTGGCATGACTCAAGTATTAGATTGTTGGAGTGATGGAATTATCTTTGTTTATTTTGAACTAAGTTGATCATACTTGGTTGATCAGGTTGATCAGGTTGATAGATGAATTTGCTTCCACTATTTTGTTTATATCACCGAAAAAGTTTGTCCGATCGGGCTAAAATTCAATTGGGTTCTCTGGGAGTCAGATATACACAAACTATTCCACTCAAATCGGTTCAGCCATCGGCGAGAAAAACGAGTGAGCTACATACAAACACAATTTTCCGATCTCGTCCAGTTGAATCGATTAGTAAAGGGCGAACACGAAATTATTGCGACACATTCAACAGGGCATAACTTTTTTACCATTGGGTAAAAATCAACCAAATTTTGCACACTCTCTCATTGATGTGTGTTGTGTACATGCTGTCAAACTCGAAGTCGTGTTTTTCGATTCAACGAAAATGGAGGTGAACCAACGCGAGTTGAGAGAACAAATTCTTTCCAAACACTTGGAATTTCCTGACCTGTCGCACCGGCATTTGGGAAAAATGTTGAACATTCACCATTCAACCGTCTCCAGAGTGTTGAAGCGGTTCCAGGAGCGGTTGACTTCGGACCACGGCAAAGGAGCTGGAAGAAAACCGGGACCGGAGACCAAAAAGACGGAGGGAAAGGTGAAGCGGATGATTAAAGCAAATCCCAACGTCTCAAGCCGTGATTTGGCTAAAAAGATCGGCATGTCGCAGAGCTACGTCCAGAATGCAAAGAAGAGAGCTGGACTACATACATACAAGGTACAGAACTTCCCAAACCGCGATGAGCGGCAAGAATCGACGGCTAAAACTCGGGCACGGAAGCTCTACGAGAAGATGCTGACAAAATATGGCTGCTGTGTGATGGACGACGAAACGTATATAAAAGCCGATTTTAAGCAAATTCCGGGGTTGGAGTTTTTCACCGGCAAGAGCAAGTTCGATGTGGACGACAAATTTAAGAAGAAGAAAATGTCGAAGTTCACCTCCAAATATCTCATTTGGCAGGCCATCTGCTCTTGCGGACTGAGGAGTCAGCCTTTCGTGACAAAGGGCACAGTAAATGGCGAGATCTACAAATCTGAGTGCCTTTTGCCGTTCTTGCAGCAGCACGACGAAGCTCCGCTATTTTGGCCAGATTTGGCATCATGCCACTATTCTAAAAGTGTCCTGGAGTGGTATGAGGTCAATTCTGTCCATTTTGTTCCAAAGGACATGAATCCGCCAAACTGTCCGGAGCTGCGCCCGGTGGAGCAGTACTGGGCAATAATGAAGCGGGAACTTCAGAAGAGCAAGAAGACAGTCAAAGACGAGAAGGACATGTTAAGAAAATGGAAAAAAAAACTGAGAAACTGGTACCGGATGACACTGTAAAGACATTGATGGAGGGCATCAAGCGAAAATACGTTCAATTTTACACTCAAGGCTCCATCGATTAACTTTTCTTTTGATTTTTGAAGTAAATATATGTATAAAACTACCCTAAAATTTTGGTTTGATTCTAAACATTATAAGAAAATTGGCATGACATTTTCGGTGTCGCAATAATTTCGTGTTCGCCCTTTACATGACACTTGACCTTCCGGGCCCTAGATAGAAAATGTGTTTTTCTGGTGATATCAAAGCCTTCCGCTACACCTCGGTGCACGAGAAAGACAAAAAATGTAGCCTTCCTAATAGCTTTATCACCGTCACCAGCTGCTACCAAACCGTCACTGGCTCCTGCGGACAAAGCAAATTCTGCAGCTTAACGTCGATTCCAATTCCTAGATGACACGTGCAATAATGTTATCGCAGCTATTACTGTGACTTTTTTGTTTAGCTCTCCTAACGACTATTTCGAATGACACTTTTTTCACATTCTTTCTATCCCTTCCCTTCTTTAGCGCACATAAATCATATAAGACAGATTGCCGGAATCGATCACGTGGGACTCGGCGCCGGATACGATGGCATTAATTTGTAAGTAATTCAATTCATTTTGAATACGTCATTTAGTTTTCATTTTCCTCATTCACTTAAATGCGGTCGGTCGGAAAAGCGAAGACAAATTCAAAACGGTTACTGTGTATGGGGGGAATTTTTCTGCATTAACTGTTTTTGTCCCTTCCACTACTAGGGCCATAGGAAATGAATGGGAAGTTGACCCAGCTTGCCATGGCCTTTCTTTCGTTGTTTTTTTTTTTTTTACTTGAACCATTCCAACGAAATGTGTGCGGCTACGTATGTTTACCGCTGAGAGCGCATTCACCACAGCAGCCAACCAACCAACCAACCAACCGGTACGCTTCTCGGTCGGTCGGTCGGTCGGTTGGTGGTTAGATGAAGTCGAACACATAAATATTTATTTGATTCACATTAAGAGCATAGCAGGAGAGTGCGCCACAGCTGTGCAACCTTGAAGAGGAATTGGAAATGGAATGTCCTGATGTACATTTTCCAACGATTCGTCATGTTCTCGGAACACTAAACTCCCCAGAGCGTTGGCGCAAACAAAAAAAAAATCGAAGCGCAAAATTGAATACTTACTTCATTTGAAATTGAAAGCAGCCTTTAAAAGGCACCGAGCGTAAATAAATACTTGATGAAATCATTAAAAGTGGCCAATCTCCCCTCTCTCCCCGTTTCATTCAAATTCTGACTATTCATCAACCCTCCCTGAACCATCGTACCGACGGTCCTGCTTCGAAATGGATACAAAAAAATCATTCAACCGCAAGCAAACATTTACCGCCGAGTGATTTTCCATTGCAGAATCATCATCGCTGCCTCCTCCCTCCTGCGCACCGGTCTTGTGTAGAGAGGTACTCCGTTTCGGGTCATTGGTCGATCCCTTGTTTACAATTGCTTAAAGGGAAATTTTCGGCAAATCCATGGCAAATAGTATTTCCAATTTTTCATTCATCAATCAATCCGGGTTGAGTTGTTTTCACGGTTCATCAACTGCTCGGCTTAAGGCTCAACAAGGTATTTTCGATTTTACATAGACCAGTATTGATCGAAATAAATCAGTAATCAGTGGGGGCAGAAGGTTATTAAAAGCAAGAGCATCTTTTGTTCAGAAGGTTGTAATCATTGTTCAATTTGCAATTCATAGCGATTTTCTTGCAATACCAGCCAAACTTAACACAAAATGTTTCTATCCTTTTTCAACCCCCCGCCAATCCAGTACGCCCCGTGGCCTGGAAGATGTCGGCAACTATCCGCGACTGTTTGCCGAACTGCTCGGCGTCGGCTGGACGGCCGACGAACTGGAAAAACTAGCCGGCCGCAATCTGTTGCGGGTGATGGAGGCGGTGGAGAAAGTTCGCGATAAGCAACGACTTTCCGGCGTTCGACCGTACGAGGACATTCCGGTGGCACTGCGGGCCGAGGAGCACTTGAACTGTACGACCAACAGTTAATGAACTGTACCGCCGTAAGCACCGTAAGCCAGCGTAATTGCGTGTGGCAACAACACTACAGTTGGGACTGATTAATGAGCGAGCGAGCAACCAATTTTCTGCCGAGAGACGACGCGCCCAAGTTGGAGTAATTACCCACTCCGACGCACTCACTGATGACTAGGTACATTCGAGATTTTTAGGGAAAGTATATATACATATATTTTTCGAAGAAAGTGAATATCTCCATGAGAAATGCCTTTTTACGTATATTTAACGAAGGTAGGTAAAGCGTTGAGTTTCTTTTTTACGTTGAAAAATTATCTCTTCATGAAAGGAGAACAACAAAAAATCTATTATAATGGTGCGGTAGTGGGGAGTAGAGAAGGGTTGCGGCAGCATAAAAAAATTCTAGCATTAAGTATAATCTGGGAAAATGGAAAAATTCCAGGAAGAAGGCAAAGTCGACAGCACAATATACAACAACAAATAACTAGACACAGCCAGTCGCACAGACAGTGATAATTTTTTCTCCTTGTTGTTCCTCACTACAAGTGGCCTCGGTTACTTCGAAAAATAGGAATCTCTTCCCATAAATGGGAGGGGAGGAAATGAAGTAAGCCGGTGAAGCAAAGGAAAAAATAATTAAAATACCCACATTAGTGATTAATGACGACTTTTTTTTTGCGGACGAGAACGAACGCTCAGGAATCTCTATGGTGGTGTCCAACAGCGCGGTCAGGATTCAGGATTCTTATCTTTTTCACTCGAACTCATAATGATGATTTGTCCCTGTTGTGGTTTTCTTTTTTTTTCTAGGATGGTTTGCCAGCACAGTATCGCAAAAATGGAGTATTTTGTGCTGGAGGGATGGCGGAGTTTTTAGCATTACAATGGTTTTGATTGGCATATTATAGATAAAAAATTTAAATAAATCACTTGCTTTGTTCAAAACTGACGTCCCCCAGAATTTATTGATTCAATTCTATATTCCTTTGAATGATACAATTTAATAGTAAAGTGAAATTAAATATTTAGCTTCAACTTCATTGAACACGTATTTGCTGTTTCCCAAAATCACTAGGTCATTAAAATAATGAATGTCGAAGATTTGTACCTATTAAAATCCAAAACGATAATTTCTTTTCTAAGATCAGCTCTTTATAAGATGTTTTGATAATCATTTAAAAAGAATCCTTTATCCATGAACATATTTCTTTATTATAAGTGTATCAACCATAAACGCATTTCGCGCCAAATCGTATCGGAGCTGGCAGCACCCTCTCAGATCTCAATGAAACTTTCTAGATGTGTAGACCTTGACTAAATAAGCCACTAGTTTTTCCAAAATTTATCTAGACTATCATTTGAGAAGGGCCAAACTTTGCTTGCCGAATTTTTTCAAAAAAATATTATGGAAAAATGGAAACTCCTATTAAAAAGTATTGTATGGAAGACTTTTAGGAAATTGTCCAAAGTTTTGAATAAAAATTCCAAATCCAGTTCCATTTGAGACCTACAATGAAAAAATCAATTAAAAAAATTTAAAGTCGATTGCCGTTGAGACATTGCCAAGAAAAAAAGTTTTTCTTGTCTGAACTGAAATTTTTTTAACCTAACACTTTCATTCAAAACTAAACGGTGAAGGTCTTAATCATCTCATTATCCAATGAAGCTCCATTTGTGAGTCAATTTTTTTTTATAATCAGCATCTAAGTTCACTTTGATTAATCGAGAATTCCAAATGAAAGGGCATAAAGAGTCGCGGCGGGTCGTATTTGATTGTGTGGTGGTTTTGATGCGGTAGTTTGACGTATAATCACGACGGTCCGGTGAAATATGAAGGAGAAAAAAATAGTTTTAAGACGCAATAGAGCTCGGTTGTGATAGCTAAAAAGATGTGCAATATTAGCATGGTGGCAAAATCGTCGCGTCATTCGTAGTTTACTTTGTGATATAAGGGGCACGGTAGCCCAAAAATGTGAAAGTTTTATGGATTCTGTCTTACGTAAGGACCAAATCGAAACAACGGTCGTAGCGTAAAAGTAGAATTTAATGAAGGTATAAGATTATCGGTCGTACGAGCTTATTCTTGTGTAAAGAGCACCGCTGACGAGTTTGAGTTTAAATAAATCCCAGGTCCTATCATATTAAGGAGATTTATAGTAACATCGCTTGATTATCGTGTGTTTTTTAAACTTAACATCTTCATCAAAGTCACCATCGGGGCCGATTTTGAATGGTTGCAACAACTTCGCGATCGTAGCTTATATGATGGCTACGACTATGAGAGGCTTGGTGGCCTTAGAGTTATCGTTTTTGCTTACTGAGTAGAACATCGTGAGTTTAATCTCAAGCCCCTCCACATCCACAACGACCGTGAATTCAATCCCAAACTCCTTTGCGTTATTGGATCGTTAGAATATCAATTCAGCTTATCGTTTACCAAAACGAATCCTGCTGCAAACCCAACCCTGTTATCCAACATCCCAGTGAATTTTCGTGGAAGTGTAGAGGATTTCTCGACACAGCGGGTATAACGCCAACACATTCCTACCTTTTCCTTTCTTGACCTGCGTTGGGTGCGGCTGACACTGGTATCAACCGGTGGAAACTAACGATTTTAAATTGGGTCACTACTTGACTAGCCTATTGGTCCCAAGCAAATCGATTAACGTACCCCATACTAGTCGAAATTCTAGTACTACACTATGTTTGTTTTGTTTTTTTTTTGTTTATTAATTTATTTGATAAGGCTCAACCGAATTAACTTTACAGAGCCGAGGATTCTTGGTCACTATACAATACATCTTAAAACTATAGTCAAAAGGTACAACACAATAAACACTTTATCTTCCGCTATCCAAAAAGCCTCCTCCATCAGAACTGGAGCCGCTTCCAGTAGTTTCATTGTATGGCAAATTGTTGTACGCCAACGAGGGTCAGAGCGCGTCCATTGCAGCAATGGACGCAAAACGTGGTCAGCACTCACACACTCATCACGAAACGGTTGCTTTCCAAAGTCGACGACGCATCGACCGAAAGAACTGCTGATGAAGAACAATGAGGAGGACCACACAATGGTTGCTACCGAGAAAACAGACGATCGCGTGGCACACATCGAGAGTGGCCTGCTTTTGTCGACAGCCGAGTGAACACTCTATGTTTGTTTTGATTCGCTATGAAAGTTTGACAGATAAAATGAGAGGTTCGAGGATTTTCCTATGCTTCGAGGGGTGCATCGATTAGCTTGGGACCGAAGAGAGTACCAGAGCTGAGCCAAAAAGTTGAGCACGTTTCTTCGAGATCTTCTAGTCTTAGAGTTACCTCTATGCTGGTATTGCCTAGTTTGAGATCACCAGTTTTTACATATAGAGGATGAATGCTAGTCCCAAGCATCGTCTATTGGTTCTCTGTGTAATTACAACTGATCTGGCAATAACAGAGTAGCATCCGTGGGCGATCAATCATGCTCATGCTCGAGAATTCAATATGAAAAGGGGATCGTCCTGAAGACTCGTAAAAATATCCAGTGAATCTTATTAAGTTCTTTGTAACCTCAAGGTTTCAGAAAAAGTTCTTAACGAACTGCTATCCTAAAAGAATATTTGAGAGACGTGATTAAAATTGTTAAACAGTTCTAGATCTATAGAATGCTTGATCAGTTTGAAGTATTGGAAAAAATATTCAGAGGGCTTTCATAAGATCTTAACAATCCTGAACGTCTTTGGAATAATTTCTGAGCAACCTGGTATCATGAAAGAATATCCGATAGACACGATTTGAATTGATAGACAGTTCTAGATCTTCAGGATAATACTTTTTCATTCTGAAGCCTAAAAAAAAATCTTCAGAGGGCTTCCTTAAAATCTTTGAAATCCTGAAGGTATTTTGAATAATTTCTGAGCAACCTGTTATCATGAAATAATTTTTGAGCGACATGGTTTGAATTGTTGAATACTTCTAGATCTTCAGTACAATGCCTGCTCAACCAACAATTTGAGCTGAATAATGGCTAATAAGCTATATTTTACCCCAAGAATCATATTTGTACCTGAATAAGCTTTTATTCAGCTTTCAATAAAGAGTGAGAGAAAGATTAGTAATTTCCATTTAATTCCACTACCTTATTTGCTTATCCTTGACAGATACGCGTATTTCGTCTACAATGTGCAGACTTCTCTCTCTTTATACAGGTATTCCACTAAGACGCCCACATTCATCAGGATTCAGCTTTTAATGTTTGTTCAGTAATCATCCTGAAGTACTGGAAAGATATACAGTGGTTCATATTAAGATTTTTGGAATCCTGATGGTCTTTGGGATAATTTCTGAGCAACCTGCTATCATGACCGAATTTATAAGAGACAGTTCTAGATATTCAGAATAATACACACTTAGAAAAAATCATGTGAATCTAGGTGCTCTGAGAGTGACATATACGAGCGTCAATTTTGTCATAAATTTGATTCATAACAGACGCGAAATATAGCTCAATAAAACGTACGTTTAGTCAAGCAACGAACTTTTAAGTCTTGGAGCATTTAATATTACATGACATGTTAGTTTACGTCTCATTTTTTGTGTCAAAGACGGATTCCGTCACGTGGAAAATTAGTTATTTCTAAGTGTGTTCCTCAACGGCGCCGGTGGTGTAGTGGTAAGCGTGATTACCTCTCACTCCAGCAGGCCTGGGTTCAATCCCAGTCGTTGCCGCCGGGATGTGCTGAGGCATAACATCTCTGATCACGCCTTCCTTCGGATGGGAAGTAAAGCCGTTGGTCCCCTATTCATGAGTTGATGGGTCGATAGGTAGGGTCCAGGTGTGGGAGCTGCCTTCCTGGCACGTCGGTAGCATTGGTGCTCAGCACGGAAAACAAGATCGACGGAAAAAACAAAACAAAAGGAAAAAAAAAGTGTGTACCTTATCAAGTCTTGAGAAAATATTCAAGGTCCATACTAAGACCTTCGATGTTCGGAGATCGAAGTAGGCCGCGCTTGAAAGCTGACGTCTTTTTATTTTGCTTCGTATTTTTCGTCAGCGAATTAAATAATTTTTGCTTTAAATTTATTAATTTGTGTGCTGAAATTTATTTTCAAGTGTTCGTAAAGTTATCATTTAGTGATGTATCGTGTTTTGTCTTGAGTGACTCGGTTGACCTTGAATCTAGCCTCCAAAAATCCACGA